GAGGCTTCAGCATCTGCCTCCGTCAGCCCCGGGGGGACTCAGGCTCCCAGGGACGGAGGATGGCAGAAGCTCTCTTAACCAGCTCTCCTTGATGGACTCAGCACGTTGACTGACGTTCTCCGTTCCGTCTGTAAAGCACACTAATGGATGCCGTGCAAGCCTCACGCCGGGGCTCCCCTTTAGTGGCCGCTCCACTCCCACCAGCTGAGCACGTCCTGTTGAGAGTCTGTCATGTTTGTTCCCAACCTGTGTACAACGATCATGCTTGTTGTCATCATCCCGGAGTATTCTATAAACCAGAAATATGATCTGGAAAGAAATAAATGTGTTTCTATGAAAATTAAGATGAATGCTCTCAAAAGACTCCATAAGGTGAGTCTGGAAGAAAAGTTCTCCAAATTAGGTGAAGATTGGTGGGGAAAGTCATAAAAATTTTAAAGGATACTGCACTCGGATTAGTCAACAGTGCCCTTCCAGTCTTGGTCACTTTAAAGAACTCAACACTCAACACTGGAGGTCACAGGCGGTGCCCCGCGGTGTGGGTGATGTCAGAACTCCCCTCAGCTGACTGTCCCCCAAGAAGAGGCCGCAGCCTGCATGAAAGAGGCAGAAGTGCTGCAAGCCAGCCGATGCTGCGTGCTTGGGGTCTGGGCACAGTGGCCACACCTTGCACAGTAGGGGGGAAACACCATCCAGTGAACTCCTGGCTCCTTGAAGTCACTTGTCTCAGGTGGAAATGTGTATGGCATGTAGGCATCATTTTGAAGGATTCTTCAAGTTAACGTACCTCTCTGACTAACCAGCTACTGTTCCAGTCTGACTGGGTAACACAGCTTTTATCATCTTCCAGAGATGAGTGGCGTGGATGGTTTCTGAGCTTATTTGTAACCGACCTCCATCTCACACACACACACACACACACACACACACACACACACGCCATCTCTGCAGTGTTAGTACTTATCACCCTTCCGCCTGAGTGATGTGATGGAAGCCTCAGAGTGAGCTGCGTAAATTCCCTCCTCCCCTCCAGTCTGGAAGATACTGGAAGGAAGCTCCTGCTCCCTTCCACGTTGCTCTGTTGCCCACAGAATCTAATACAGTGCCTGCCCCCTACAGATGCTGAATTAATATTTGCCAAATGGAATTAGTAAGCCTCATCTTCAGGGACTAGGGTCATCAATGAGGTTTTCGTGTGAACACTTGCATGCTCAGAAGAAAACCTTTCTATGGGTTTGGAATTGGCCAGCCTTCAAGCCAACCTCACACCCAGCTCTACCTCCCCAGGCCCAGCCTCTCCTGGGCTGTTCAGCCTAACTGGCTCAGCCCCAGCCTTGGGCACATCAGATCCCTCCTATCTGGGTTCCAAACACCCCCTAGTTCTCATGCATAGTCCATGACACCCTAAAACCCATAGACAAATTCTTATAAACAAGTCTTCCCAGATATGGTCAATGTCCACGGCTTATTGGACCTTAAATCATGACCAATTCCATGGAAAGCTGGGTGTGAGGTTTGGCCTTGAATGCCCACCAGACCCCCACTTTTCTCACATAGGACATTGCTTTGTCCTCACGGAGCCCTAAGTGTCTTAACCTCAAGTTGCTAAAATGGCAGAACTGAAAATTCTTTAGAACTCTCCCAATCTAGCCTCCATATTTTGAAGAGGAAGACAGAGGTCAAGGAGGGCAAGCAGTGTGATCCCATCCATCCTCCAGTGGAGAGCCAGCCAGAACACTGTCCAGGCCACTGCTTTCCTGCCTCCCTGCCGCTGCCTCCCAGCGCTCTGCTCCTGTCACCAAATGACCATCCCCCACTTGGCCTCCCGCGCTCCACCCACACTGTAGCCTTTGTCTATGTCCAGTGGAGGCTCCTGAGAGCACCCAGTGGAGTGGAAAGGCCTCCTCATGTCTGCACTTGCTGAGGGACAAATGACAGTTGAGGCTGGCCACAGACATGAGTGACAAGTGTTGGGTGAGGGGTCATGACCATAGCGGACCCTGGGCCCCCACACTCATTCACACCTGCACAGTTTCCTGTCAGCCTCCCCTCATGCCTCCACTAGACCCTTCCTCAAACATCCCATTGTCCCTGCCCTTGCCTCCTACCCTCTCCTGCCTTCTGGGTGTGGCCAAACCTCTCCTCCATCTTTTGGGCCCAAAGCAGTTCTGGATTCTAAGGCAGATGCAGCCTGCAGGGCCAAACCTTCAACCACAGGCAAGCTACTGTCCCCCCTCCAGGGCCCAGGCAGAAGCATAGGCTGTGGCGAGGTGGTCGTCCTTGCAGCCCCATCTCAGACTGGCCTCAGATCTTCTGGGGGTGGGGTGGGTGCAGCCTCCGCCCCCACACAACCCAGGCCCTGGCTCCATTTCCCACAAGCCCGCCCCCTGCTGGCCAGCTGGCTTTCTCTGAGGCTGGGGGCTCTCCCTGTTCTGCTTAATAACCGCCTGATAATTAGCTCCACGATTTTGCTACTATGCTTATAATAGCCACCATTAAAGTTATGGGGTTTTCAAGCTGTAATGGCTTCCAGAGTAATTAATGCACAACTGGGTTTATTGCGAAGTTTATTTTTAGACCTTTCCTCCCTTATCCCCCCTCCCCTTCCTTTCATAGATGTTCTGACCAAACAGACTGTATAGGATCAGAACTCTCTCCATGGCCTCCCTGCACCCTTGTCTCCATCTCCCCCCTTTCCTCTTCTGCCCCCCTTGCTGCTCCTGCCTCCAGCGAGGTGCTGGGACCCCGCGGTTGAGGCAGCTTTCGTGGAGGAGAGTGGCTCTGCAGTGGCTCTAGGCCAGGGCCTGTGTATGTCCCTGTGCTCGCCCCACACCTAACCAGGTCCCAGGGCTCTGGGGCCTGCCCCTTCTCTGCTCCTGACGGCAGCACGAGCCAAAGGGCCTGGACTGGTGCCTGGCTCCACCACGTCCCGCCTGTGATTCAGGGGCTGGCCCTGCTGACATCCACAGAAACAGGGATGAGGACAGCCCCTCCCGCCAGGGGTGTCGTAACACTGACAGGAAGTGTGGGGCATTGTCTTTGGATGCTGCGCATGCCACCTGACGGCTCTTATGACTAACGACAGCCACGCAGACAAGGGGGAGGTCGAGTGGGTGCGGACATAGGAGGCTTGGGTGAGGAGGCTGCCAGAGGAAACAGGTGTAAGGGCAGGAAGGTGCGCAGAGAGGCTGGCGTGTGCGCACCGAGTGGCACCAAGCTAGCCTTGCCATCGCTCTCTCCATCCTGGGATCAGAACCCTCCCCAAGATCAAGGACAGTGGGAAAAGCTCCTTGGGAGTCACTGAGAGCCAGAGGAAATCTCTCAGCCAGGCCTTTTAGAAGCTCCTCTGTCCTGCGTGAAATGTGGCCTGAGATGGCCAGCCAAACCAAGGCCCTGACTCAGCCCTTTGTGGGCCTGTCAGTGGCCTTGCAGCGTGGGCTGGGGCCGGGGTGTGGCATGAGGTCACTCTGCTCCATCCACTCAGCACCTGAGACCCAGACAGGCACCCGGGGCGGGACACTGGGCCCTGTCACCTGCTGGGGCCGTGGAAGAGCCATTTGTAGGAGACGCAGCACACACCCAGGACTATTCGCCCTGCGCTGTGCCCGCTGTTTGTCTCTGCCTGTAAGCTCTAACCCTGCTGGGCCTTCCATTCCCCCAAGGAAGGAGGGGCAGCCTGTCTCCCCCCTGTGACAGGCGACCGTGGAGGCAGAGTGGGCCTTTGGGGGTAGGGGCGGGTGGGCATGCTGGCCAACCCAGGAAAGCACAGCTCTTTACTGGAAGACAAGGCTTGGTTCTTCCACAAGGCGTCAGAGCTGTTTGGAAAGAGGACCAGACAAGGAGAGGAAAACACACTGTTTCCAAAACTGGGGGCCAAAAATCCCCCTAAGCCATGGCTCTGGACTCAGAAGAGATGGCGAGCACTCGCTGCCTCGGGATGGGCGGGCAGCTGGCCTCTGAGGCGTGTCACTGCACAGTGCTAGGCACAGGTGGTGAGCACGCCAGAACTCGCCCGGGGCTGCCCACGGTTGCCCTCCCTGCCCTCCTCCCCACAGGCCCCACCTGCATCTTGCACGCATGGTGTTCGGCACAGAAGTGAAGGGGGCGGCAAAGAATAGGATGTGACTGCTGCCATGGTGTTCATGAGGTCTCTGTGCCTGCTCTCCTTGTTACACACGAGGACGAGGCCCACAGGAGGATGCTGCCAGCGGATGCTCTGCGAACCTGACAGGAAGTGTGAGCAGGCTCCCCTCCTCACGCAGGGGTGCCTCTCCTGGGGCCCCTGCTGCTCCATTTTGAGTCCTGTCTCCCCAGGGTGTGGCAGCCCCACCAGGACTGCCTCTCCTTCCTGCTGATACTTGGCTCCAGCGCCCGGTGCTCTGCCCTATGCACAAGAATTTCCCACTGACATCTACAAAGGGAGGGCACCTCCCAGGGCCTGTCCCCAAAACATCCCTTATTGGTCTTCAGAGCACTCACCCCAATGCTGACCCCTTTATCCAGGCTATGAAAACAAATATCTGGGCACAAACATGTGGACAACACAGGAGCTGATGTGTCTTGAGCACTAGCTGTATATACATCAGGCGCCATCCGATGGGCCTAGGGCATTAACTCATTTAATTCTCAGAATGCCCTTGTGAAGTAGGTACTGATGGTATCCCACTTTCATAGATGAGGAAACTGAGGCACAGAGAGCTGCCGTAACTTGGCAAAAGGCATACGGTTTGTTGGCAGCAGAGCTGGGTTAAACCAAGGCAGGTGTGTCTGAAGTCTGTGCACCTGCTGACTCGCATAAGTGGGCAGTGCCACGCCTCAGGCCTGGGGGGACAGAGGCTCACTTCACGCAGTGGGCAGGCAGAAGGGCTCCACAGGGAGATGGCAGTCTGGGCTCCATTGTGAAAACCCCACTGCTGTGTGTCCTGGAGCTGGGCCCGGCCCTTCTGGGCCTCCGTCCCCCGCCCAGGTCTCTGGCCATCCTCTGCTGCTTTCTCTTGCAGGTGTCCACCTTGCAGGGCTCCTGACCGTGCCCCTGGACAGCCACCCGTTCTCAGACACCAGTCTGGCCGGACCCCGCAAACCTGCTTCCGCAATGGGTGGGTTGTGAGCGCTGGTAAGACCTGCTAGCCAACATTCAGCCTCTCTGCTGTCCCCATGCCTGGCCCGCCCAGCCCACTCCTGTTCTTTTCTCCCCTGTGCTCACCACTGGCTGCTGCTGCCGCCCCCGGGGCCATCCTCTCCCGACCTTGCCGCGCTCAGGTAACGAGGAGCTGTGGGCCCAGCCAGCCTTGGAGATGCCGAAAAGACGGGACATCCTTGCGATCGTCCTCATCGTACTGCCCTGGACGCTGCTCGTCACCGTGTGGCACCAGAGTACCATCGCGCCTCTGCTGGCCACACACAAAGGTGAGCCCCTGGCCCCCGGCCTGGCTTTGGTAATAAGAGTGACCACAGCCAACACTGATGGCATTCTTATTTTCCTTTACTAGGCAGCTGGGAGGAGTGAATGATCCAGGCCAATGACCTTATCCTTTCGGGGGTCTTGGCCCCTTTGGGAATGATGAATGCTGTCACACACACACACAACTCTGCATCCAATTCCAGGACGTGCAAGGACTGGAGTATTCTGCAGCGGGTGGGAAGGATGCATGGATAAGATTCCTGGCCTGTACTGTGTTTTAAAACCTTTCAGGGAAGGGTATCTTACTCGCTCCTGTTTTCCTAGTTGGACAACCCTGATCTTGTCCTACTCTGAGAATAGGCCTGGGCAGAGGAAAAGTCCCAGGACTTACTGAGTCCCCTCTCAGAGGAAAAGTCCCAGGGGAAGAGCTGGGGTTAGAACTGGCTTCTCCTGGCTCCAAGTGCAGAGCTTTCCCTCTACCAGGTTGCCTTTCCCTCTCACACCGGGGCTTCCTACACCCCAAAAGCTTCCACGTGCCCCGCATCTGGCCTGTCCCCTCATTCCTTGGTCCTTAGTCTCACGCTCTTCTCCTCTCCCCACTCTGTGCACACACAGACTCAATACTCTAGGGCGGTAATTTTCCCATTGAAATGTGCGTAAGATCACATGGGAGCATGATAAGTTATGAAGGCCCCCAGCCCTCTCCCAGAAAGAAATGATGGGTCACAGGTAGGGCCTGGAAATCCACATGTAGCCTGTAACCCCGAGTGATCTGGATACAGGCAGGAACCAACAATCACAGTCTGAAGCTCCAGTTACACATTGGGACCTGCTCAACCTAGCTGTTCCTGAAGCTTCTGGGAGGAAGGGCCACGCTGAAGATGGCTAAATTCCCACTGCCCACTGCTGGGCACCGAGAGCCTCTCCCGACATTCATCCTCTCCTCCCAACTCCAACATCTCTTCTTTGGTGCTTGTCATTTTAGAATTGTTATCCTACAACTACATCATTCCAGCGGGGTTAAGACGACCATATATAAAAGTAACATAACATCGTGTGGATTCTTGACAAAGCTCTGGGGCCAGAGACGTCAGGCTGTTTTGCTAAGCGCTGATGATACTGCTTGAAGATGGGGAATTGGCATTTTTTCTCCCCAGAGCAGGCCAAGAGGAACTGAACAAAAGCTGCAGGGAAATAAAGTTAGGGTCGCCAAGAGGCCTTTAGGATTCAAAGGTTGTAGAAGCCCTGAAGCCAGCCGGAAGGGCCAAGTCATACTGCATAGAGAACTTTCTCAGGGCACAGTTCCACCTGTTTGGGATGATTTGAGTGGCAGAAAGGTGGGGAAAATGATTCTAAATCTCCTTCCTGGGCCTTGTTTTCCAAAACTTTATGGACTGCAGGATAAAGTAATCCTTATATATATTCTAGTCAGAATCTCCATTACCCATCTCTCTCTCCTCAGCCTTGTGCTCTTTCCACAGTTTGACCCAAAACTCCTCCAACAAGTCACCTTTGATCAGCTGTGTCTGTGCTGGTCTTCCCACCCTGAATGCACAGCCGCGGGCATCGTATCCATGGCCCGGGCAGCAGGCTCCTAGCTGCTGCTGTCTGTCTGGTTTCGCCATTGGCTTGTGCAGACTCCCTTCTTCTGGGTTCGTCAGCGTCTCCTCCCAGAGCCGAGTGCCAGACCTCACACAGGCACTCCACACACCCCACGTGCTGATGACAGCAGTGGGACGGAGGGAGGTAACAGAATGTCTGATTCATGCATCCTCCCCGGATCGCACTTCCACCCTTTCACGTGACGGCTCATTTCCTCCTTTCCATAGCCACGTGGAGCCGTGAGGAACTGGGCTGGACACTGCCCGCTTCTCTACACGAGGAAATGCCACATCTGCCAGGCAGTGTTCTGAGCCCTTTACACATATTGACTCATTAATCCACATGGTAACTCAAGAAAATAGATGCTATTATTAGCCCTATTTTATGGTTGCTAAAATTGAAGCACCAGAAACTAAGTAAGCTGCTCAATGGCATATGGTTAATAAGTGACAGAACTGGGCAGTGTCTGAGCCCAGGCATTTGGATTCCTAGGTCTGTCCTCTGTGACCACCTCCTGCTGAGAGGGGCTGAGAGCAGGAGGGTCTCATAGTTGTCCAAACAGAATGATGTAACTTGGAGAGAAGGGACTCATTAACAAGAACATCAGTGTCCCTGAATTCTCTTGATGGGCCTACTAGCTTCACCAGTGAGGAGAATGTCCAGGATGTAAGAAAGAGCATGCTCATTAGAGCTCCCCAGTTGGAGCAGGTTGCCTTCAGGAAGGAGCGGGTTCCCCTTGCCTGCGAGTGTTCACCAGAGGCCAGCTTCTGCAAGGTTTCACACGGTGTCCCTCATGGTGTCCTTGGGGAGACAGGGGTAGATACTAGGGGGATGCTGGGACCGTGAGGGTCAGTACAGCCAGTCTCCAGATGGTTGAGTGAGTGTGTCCAGAAAGTGCAGATTCGGAGATTGACATTGAACCAGCAGAAGAGCTAGAACAGGCCTCCATCCTATCCCTTTGTGTCTGCCAAAATGTAGGAATATCTCAAATCAGAAACGACAGATTCAGGATGCAAAATTATCTTGATAACTATTGGCAAAGCCCTGGAATAAAATGCAGTAGTTATGTATTAAGTTCTGCACCAAGATTCAAAGGATCGATTACATAAGGCCAGGACAGGCGAGGTCCCACTTGACTAGAGGGTTTGTGAAAACTCTGGTGAGCTAACCCCAGCCTCTTTGGGGTCCACAGTGTGCTGCGGCCACAATGACACTAGCCCTGCTCTGGGACATTGCAGCAGCCACACCACAGAGGCTGCCAACGCCCCTGTGCTCTGCTGGCCCAACCCTGTGCAGGGCAGTGCAGTCAGCTCTAGCCAGATGAGGAAGGACTAGGGTACAAGGGCTAGGACACTTTGTCACAGAAACCCCACACATTTAGGAACTGAGCATGCAGTCTTGGAACACGGCCAGCTGCCCTCAAATAGCTACAGAGTTGTCAGACTTGAGCAGGAGGCAGGGGTTATTTATGTGTCATCCTGGGAGTCAGAACTAGGAAAACCGGGGGGAGGGCGGGAATTCCAGAGAGGCAGACTTCTCCTTCAGCTAGCACAGGTAGAGCCCAGGCAGGGCGGACGGCATCCCACACAAGGGGCAGAGAGGTTTGTCGTGACAAGGTGGGTGGCACCCCGTGCGGTACCTGAGGCCACAGCCAGGCCATGGCTCCTGTCCCCACACTGTCTGTCTCCCAACCCCGCAGATGATGGCAGGGACCCCCGGCGCGACGCGCCACCGGGCGCCGACCCCAGGGAGTCTTGCATGTCTGACCGCGACATCGTAGAGGTGGTGCGCACCGAGTATGTGTACACGCGGCCCCCGCCGTGGTCTGACACGCTGCCCACCATCCACGTGGTGACGCCCACCTACAGCCGCCCGGTGCAGAAGGCCGAGCTGACGCGCATGGCGAACACGCTGCTGCACGTGCCCAACCTGCACTGGCTGGTGGTGGAAGACGCGCCGCGCCGCACGCCGCTGACCGCGCGCCTGCTGCGCGACACCGGCCTCAACTACACGCACCTGCACGTGGAGACGCCCCGCAACTACAAGCTGCGCGGCGACGCCCGCGACCCGCGCATCCCGCGCGGCACCATGCAGCGCAACCTGGCCCTGCGCTGGCTGCGTGAGACCTTTCCCCGCAACTCCAGCCAGCCCGGCGTGGTGTACTTCGCGGACGACGACAACACCTACAGTCTGGAGCTCTTTGAGGAGGTGGGGATGGGGCAGACTCCAGGGGAAGGGGGCGCGGCTGCGGGGCCTGAGGCCTGCGACGTGGGGAATTGAGAGGCGCACTCCTGGCGGGAGCTCCCGCGGAGGGTCTCTTTGGGTGTGCACACAGGGAAACCACAGGAGGGGTGCCCGGTTGGGGTCAGTGCAGACGGAATGGGAGAACCTCACTGCAGGTTTCAGCAGCCCCCACTGGGTACAGGGAAGAAAGCTGGAGTTGGAGCTCCTGGACCAGAGTCCTGGCCTCACAGGCGTTGTCTGAATGAGGGCTTAGAGTGGGGTCATTGAGTGTGGCTGCCAGAAACCTCTGTGGTGGAACAGTTTGTGTGTCCTTGGGGTTTGTGGGTCATGGTAGTCTTGAGGAGGGGGACTCTGAATTGGGAAGATTGGGAGGGGTTGCAGCAGGGGAGAAAGGGCAGCAGGTCCTATGGAGAATGGATGGTGAGCTGTTTTGAGAGGCCAGGCCTTGCCCACAGTGCAGGGCAGGCTCCTCCACAGATGCCCATCGCGGGGGATGCGTGTGGGGGTAGGGCTGGCCTGGCTTCCCTGGCGTGGCCTCAGATGGCTGTCTGCACAGAATTAATTGGTGATTTCCATGGGGACGGTCATCATGCCCCATCAGCAGTCCCAGGCATCCTGACTCTGGATCCCCCACCTGTAGATGCGCAGCACCAGGAGGGTGTCCGTGTGGCCCGTCGCCTTCGTCGGCGGCCTTCGGTACGAGGCCCCACGGGTCAACGGGGCAGGGAAGGTGGTCGGCTGGAAGACAGTGTTCGACCCCCACCGGCCGTTTGCAATAGACATGGCTGGGTTTGCGGTCAACCTGCGGCTCATTCTACAGCGAAGCCAGGCCTACTTCAAGCTGCGCGGTGTGAAGGGAGGCTACCAGGAAAGCAGTCTTCTCCGAGAACTTGTCACCCTCAATGACCTAGAGCCCAAGGCAGCCAACTGCACCAAGGTAAGACCCTCAGCGGAACTGACAGCTGCAATGCAAGTGTTTCCAAGCCCATCCAAACCCTCCCTGCAGGTCAGGGGCGAGAACGGTAGGCCTCAAAACAGCCTTGCAAAGCAGCAGCAGCCTGGAGCAGTGCCTGCCCAAAACCCCCTTCCGGGAGGCAGCATATCACCCCAGGCGGCCCAGGACAGCCTGGGAAATGGGGAGAGTGGTGATCAGTGAGGCAGAGCCAAGGATCCCTTCCCTTGCCCGAGCAGCTGTGCTCCACGACCTCCCTGACAAGCACACACGCACAAACACGTGCACACACACACACACTGCTTCTAGTCTGGACTCCTCTGGCTAGTGCTGGGGCTATCACTTGGCTGAGCTGAAGGCTCCTGAAGAACCTTCTTCCTGTCTAGAGAGACCCATCAAGAAACCCAGGGGAGGATGAGAAGCAAGAGGAAATCTTGGAACTTATTTATCAATCTTCTGTAGCTCTAGAGTTTGTTTCCAACAGATATTTTGAATGCATACGTGTACAAACAGCAGGAACGAGGGGGCAAGTAGAAATAAAGAAAACAATGGAGGAAATCTGGAGGGAACAAGGACAAAATGAGAGGGGCAGGAGAAATATTGGTAAGGTGTGGGAGGGAGCGCGGGTCAGGGGCCTGCCCCATATTGTTTTGTGTCTCTGGACACACAGATCCTGGTCTGGCACACACGGACAGAGAAGCCAGTGCTGGTGAACGAGGGGAAAAAAGGCTTCACTGACCCCACTGTGGAGATCTGAGCCCCAATACAGGTACGGCGGGGACGAGGGCGGGCGACACACAGGGCAGGGGCACACCAGGTCTGGACGCAGAACACACCTGCCTGCCGAGCGAGGCTTCTCCTCTGTGTCTTCACTTGCAGGAGGACAGGGCGAATCCCAGCGGGAGTGGAAGAGGCGGAGCTGATGTGTCCCCTCCCCCCACGCCTCTGCAGGCTACCAGGAGCCTGCTGCCTCACACAGCTGGGTCCTTCTGCCACGGCTCTTGGGAAGGCCTCACTTTCCAGACACCCCCTCCTGACCCCCTGTGGTTATTACTATCATTCTGGCCATGACACTGTCCCATTGCGAGGCTCTGCTACGAGGCTCTGTCTTCCCTGGTGGGTTCCTCTTCAGCATGCTGCTGTGACAGTGACCCCTCACTCACTGCTTCCACCATCGAGAGCATCCAGATGTCTCTCAGCAGTGACGGTGTAGCACAGTGGTGCAAGCATGGACCCCAGAGCCTGGTTCCACTCCCAGGCCTACCACTCTTCACTGTTTGACCTTGCTTTCTTTCTCTGGGCCGCAGTGTCTGTATCTGTCAAATGGGTTGCTGGGGCACCAGGGACAGCCTCTGGCACATACTATGTCCTATATAAGTGTTGCTATTTTTATTTGATTCTTTAAAACCCTCTATTGATGTAGGCCACAGGATCTATCTACATTTTAGAGGTAAAGAAATGATGTTCAGAAGAGCTAAATGAAGTGTATTATGCCAGATCATCGGCAAGGCCAGGAATTTTCTGTGGGCTTTTCTATGATCTCATCACAGAGGTGGCAGCTCAGGCAGTGGGACTCACATCTGTCCTTTCGCCCCGGAGTTAAGAGCTTCGTCATCTGTATCACAATTGCAACCACCCTGCCCACAGGGGAGCACAGGGTATCAGCCTGCCTGTTTTGTTCCCTGAACTTAAAAAATCAACTTGGCCAGTGCCACTGAGAATGCAGTGCAAGCTTCACTCCCTGCCTCCCATCCTCACTGGGTCACTGGAAGAACCTGCTCCCACCCGCCTCTCAATAAGAGTCCACATAGGATGCTGGGGCTTGGGCTCTGCAGAGCTCGGGGTGACCCCTTTTGGGGGCTTAGGATCCGGTGGTGTGGCCAGGCTGGCCACTCCCTCCCCTGTCTCCCCTCCCCCGCCTCACCCGTTCCTCTTTTCCCCTTCACAGGAGCCTCCTTCCCAGACCCTGTAGCCTTCCATTCTCTCCCCATGGCTGATGGTCCCTCCAAGGCAAACTCCTAAGGAATCGCCATCACCCTCCTTTCTATTCTGGAGGCTTCAGAGAGAGCCCAGCCTGATGCCAGGACAAAGGACGGAAAACCTAAAGCACAGAGATCCCAGACCTGTTGTTCTCTTCCATCCAAGCCATGCCAGCCAGTGAGCCAGTGCCCCAGCACGCCTCCCCAGGGCTTCCCACGCCAACAGGGTTGTGGGAGCAGACACCGTGGGCACCCAGGCTCTGGAGAGATGCCAGGCAGGGAGGGAGGTGAGAAGACCTAGCAGTGAAGCAGAGTGTGGCCCTCCCCAGCTCCCTGCTCATGGGGCCCAGCACAACCACACAGGACACCTGGCCAGGGAATTCTGAAGACCAGAGAGTGGCCCCCCACCTGGGCATCAGGAACGCCCCACTCCCCTCCTCGGAGAGCTGCTCCCAAGTGCACATAGCTCTCTGGCTTTCCTCTGGCTCCCATTTCCAGAGCCTAAGGCTGTCTTTGATCCCAACAGGCAACCAACCCTGCATGATGGGGGCCTGGGCCTGCCAACAGGCTCCCCCTATACCTCAGGTGGTGGTGGGAGTGGAGCCCCTTCCTCTGGCCCCACGTCCCTCAAGCCTGCTCCTTCCAGCACAGGGAAGGAGGTGGGTCCCAAGCCAGCACAGGTCATGGGGTCACCTGAACTAAGACCACCCAGGCCCTGTTCACACACTGCCTCCCCACCACCCACCAGGCACCAGGGCCCCTTGCCTGGGCTGGGACTAGGGAGGACAGGAGCCCTCTTCTGGAGACCTCAGGGCTTGGGGAATCAGAGGTGGGCGAGAATGGACTAAGCAGGGAGGCCGGGCAATTCCACTCCTTCCTGGCCCTGGTGTGGGTGCGGGGGGACTTGTGATTAGGAGAGGGATTGATGGAAAGGGGGCAGAGATCATTTGGACAGTGAGGGGAGAAGAGACCTGAGCACACACTACTTTGGAAATCATTCTCTTTTAAACACAAAATGGGAAAGAAAAACTCACTTCCCCCTAAGTTGGGAGCATGTAGAACAAGCCCGCCTCCTGTCCAGCTGCCCCCTTTCCACCCAGAGAGCAGTGAGCATGCGCTGCTCCCCTTCACCACGAGGGGACGCATTTCCAGGCCACTGCAGAGGCCCCTGGCTTTCCTACTGGGGACAGGGCCCCCTGGTGGTCATCCCATTCATGCTCCTGCGAGTTGGAAGCACAATTTTCCTCCCAAGTGGAGGAAAAGGAGAGGCCTGAGCCTACAGAAGAGGTGTTTATATTTTAACTGCTAACAGCCCCCACTCCGTTTAAACTCACAGTACTGGTCTGAGGACCACTGAGAACCCCCTCTGGTGGGTGGGGGGTGGGACTCAGTCCACTGACCTAACATTCAGAAAATAGTATTGGCTGCCTGTTTCGAGATGGATTTAACTTCCCACGGTATTCATGAAACCATCAGATGGCGTCATATCCCTGAGGACCTGAGCCCTTGCAGGATGTTCCCCAACCTCATACTTTTGATGGTTGCTTCGGAGATAAACCCCTGGGAATCAGGTGGGGTGGCACAGGAGAGAAGGGAGGAGGTGGGCACAGGGCACCCATCAAATGGGTGAATTTACACCCAGGCACTCCACTGCCTCACGCACCGAAACCAGCCCTGAAGGCTCAGGTCAGCCCGGCTGGTCTCAGGCCGCCACCTTAGCCAAAAACCCAGAGCTCATTTTCAGGAAATTGATAATGAACAACGAAATGGGGTACTCTCTCTCTCTTTTTTTTTTTTTTTTTTGGCAGATGCTAGTTCAGTTGTTTTCACCTAATATCCGCTCTGAGCTGCATGAGTGTTTCTTTATAGTTATAACTCGGGTGGACTGCAGCTTTCAGCCTTGTCAGGAATGAGTCTGTTATAAATCAGAGTGGGGTCCAGGACCACAATTTGTTCTCCAAACCCAGTCTGTTCCTTGCTCCCCACCATAAAGGAGTGAGGCCGGGGGCTAGGAGTCCCAAGAACAGAGGCTGGGCTGAGGGAAGCCCCTGCAGCTGCACCATCTGGTCTGTTTTAATTTAACTGTATTTAATTTTTTTCAAAATTAAAAGTCAAATATGGTTTTTAACAGTCCTAATTCTCCTCAGCCCTACATTATTTTATTCTCATTTATTGCTTTAACCATCCAACAAATATTTATTTGTTGGGTGCCTACTAAGAACAGGCATTATTCTAGGAGCTAGCCCAGAGCAGTGAAGAGCCAAAGCACTTGTCTGCGCAGAGCCGACCTTCCAGTGAGAGGACGTGCACAGACAATAAAGATCTCCAGGGGGCCAGATGTGGTCTGTCCCAGGAGAAGAGTGAGGCTGAGTGGGGGAAACAGCAGCTGTGGACAGGAGCTGACCCCTGGGGTAGGGCAGTCAGAAAGGCCTCCCTGAAAAGGTTACATCTGGCAGAGCAGCAGCACAGACACACAGTTATCTGGGTCAGAGCATGCCAGAACAGGGAACTCTCCCCTCAGTGGGAGGGCATTTGTGTGTTTAAAGATGGGCAGAAAGGCCAATGTGACTGCAGAAGTCTGGGGACGTGGGAGGGGCTGGTGGGGAGATGGGCTGGACACGGGAGCAGGGGAGGTGCAGGGTGTATGGGCCCTGGGAACCAGGGGAAAGCTTTGGGCTTCTACTGTGAGTGAAGACGGAGGCCATTGGAGGGTTTGGATCAGAGGACCGACAGGATCTAACTGTTAGCCTTTTGGGAGAATCACTCGCCTCCTGTGCTGACAATAGACAGCGAGGACAAGGGCAGGCCAGGGGACAAGGCAGCGGCTCCCGCAATGATCCAGGCACGAGATGGCAGCGAGATAGATGAGGGCGCAAGCTTTGGGGCAGAGAAAAGTGGTCCTGGTTCCCGAAGTATGTAAGAGGCAGAGCCAGGAGAATTTGCTGATGGATGGGATGTCAGATATGAGAGAGGAGCCAAAAATAATCTCAGACAGAAGAGAACTGCGTTTCCGGATCTGGGGCAGAGTGCAGGCGGGATCGTGTGGGCCGGTGGGAGTTTGGTCTCACGTAACTTGGACAGGTGCAGAAGAGAAGTGCGTGGACAGCGGCCAGTACACTTAGAGCTCAGATGGAGGTCAACACTGCAAAGTACTAGTGTCCAGGCTGTTGACAAGCCGGGTCGGTGAGACCCCTGCAGTGAGTGTGGACAGCGGGAAGAAGAGGCCTGAGGAGTAGGCCTGGAGACCTCCAGCATCTAGAGGCTGGAGTCATAAGGAGGAGTCTTCAGAAGAGCCTGAGCTGAGGCTCTCCAGCAGGAAGGTCTGGACAAGCCGTGGACAAGCTCCGGAGGATGACCTCCGCTGGGGCTTTAACAGAGAAGCTGTGGGGGCATTCGGGAGATAAGAAGGCCAAGAACAGTAAGCTGCTTCAGGAGGACCTCACCTAAGAAGGGGCCAGGGTGTCTTTGCAGATTTGCATAAAAGAGTAATTTGAGAGGACTCTTCACTTTATGAAAGGATTCACTGTAAGAGTCCTGTAAATACCAGTTCCCTGTCACATTTTCCAACAGCAGCCACCTTACATACCACTTTGCAGAGCACACTCTGGTGTAAAGCGAGGCCCAGCGACACTGCTCCCCAGCGCTGGCCGTGCCCAAGCAGCCCTAGCCCCATGCATATCTGAGGCCTGTGCTTTCCATTCCAAGGCAGTTCAGGAACAGCTGGTGAGTTCTGGTAAGATTGGGGACTTTGCACTCCTCTTGCCCCTCAGCCATGGTCCATGAGGTTCATTTTAATAAGCTCCATTTCTCTGGCCCCAGTGGGACCCTTAGGCCCAGCCCCCTGTGATTGTCTGTGCTTACGGCTCAGCTGCTGTACACCACAGCTGCCCCCAGTGCAGAACCCTTTCCTTAGTCAAGCACAGGATGCAAGCCTGTGGGGCCGTGGGGAGCCTCATGGCCTGCTGTGGCCCCCGCCCCCAGGCTTTGTGGGCTCCTGGTGTAGGCACCATCCTGGGGAGGTGTCTGCTATTTGTCTGTGACTATTACTGAAGATAATTCGTTTGTGGAATTATCTTCACAAACGTTGTTTGGGAAGAAGACCCACCTGCCACAGTTGACTCACACATAGAGGTCTTGGCTGTCTAGCAGGTTCCCACCCCTGCCCACCAGCACCAGAATGGACCTGTATTTGACTTCTCCTCTCCAGGGGCACTTGCAATCCAGGTGCCACTTCAGGGGGAATGCAGGTCAGGAGGGAGGTGGTAAGGAGCCAGGGGCTGCATCATCTACTCACCAGGTAAAGCCCAGCACCAGCTGGGCTAAATGTGAGCCTGACTCCACAGGGCCTGCACCTCTGGCTAATAAGCGGCACAAATAGGATTGGAGGAATATCACCGAGGAAGATTTGATTCGACTCTACTGCTTTATTGCAATTCAAGACAGCAAACCTGAGCCAAACCACTGGGCTCAATCCCCAGAACAAGCGCCTCAGAAGTGGACAGACAACTGCAAGGGCAGGCTGCCTCTCCGCTCTGCTGAGTGGCCAGAGGGGCTGAGAGGGGGAGGGAGCTGGAGCAAGGCCTGCTCTAGGCTGCCCCAACATTCCAGGGAGGCCCCCCACGGCCCCGCACTGGAGTGGCCTCCTGCTGTCTCCCTGCGGCCCTGAGAGGGTGTGGTTTCTGCTAGGAGCTACATCTCCTCCTCAGCTGATGCTTCTCCCTGAGCAAAACTGGACACACTCTAATTCAGAAAAACAAGAGGCCGAGTGTTTCTGCTTCACGTAAACTTGGCCTGTCATCCTGTCAGATTCAGATGCAATCAGACTGAGAATGAAAAGGAGAAAACATGTCTCAAACGGAATTTCTCCCAGAATCCTAGAGAAGGCTTGGGAGGGTTTGAAGAAAGAACAAAGCCGATCAGAGGACACACCCCCTTCCCTATCCCCTGCAAGTGGTGACCACTCACTACTTCAGAAATGAAAAGGGGCCACAAGGGATGTGGTCGAGCCAGGTGAGAACCTCAGAGGAGCAAACATATGACCAGGAGTCACGGCCAGCTAGTCAGGCCCTTTCCTGAGGGCCCCAGACACCCTCATGGAGATCTGATTAGACATTCCCACCCCCAGAGAGACAGCCTTCTGTCCTCTCCCAGAAGAGCAGGGAAGTAGAAAGGCGCCATCAATAGAGCTGGGTCAAGAAGCCACTTCAGGTAAGAAGGGGTCCCTCCCTGGCCATCCTACCTCTCCTCTTCAGGTCTCCAGGTTTAGGGTCTTGAACTCAAACAGTGGGCAGAGCTGTGGCCCCTGGACTCCCGGAGGTTGCTACTTAAGGACACTCTCATGCTGCGAGGCTGCGAGGGGCCTGCCAGGCCTCCCATCAGCCGGGAGGAGGGTGGCGCCCTCTTGCTTCCTTCCCACCAGGAGGAGGTGCCGGGCGGTGCTGCTCAGTGGATGTACTGGTTCCTGCCTAGGTGGGGTGTTTCAGTGAACTGTATCACAGGACCTGCCATCTTCTCCTCAAAAACAATGACCTAGGGGCGAGAAGGGCTGGGGTATAACAACAGCAGATGTCTGTCTTAGAGCCAGAAGGGGGCTGGGAACCAGGCTGGAAGGAATAGAGACCCACAACTTATCAGCACCAAGGAGAAGCACAGAAGAGCTGGCTACAACCTCTGCCCCTCTCCTGCCCTCACCAGCCTTAACAGCCTGTGACCAAGGACCCCAGAGAAACATTGTGATGCCAGGGAGGGCAGGGAGAAGGGGGTCCTGGGGAAAAGGAAGGGCCTGCAAGTGCTCACACCTGGTTGATGCCTTGGTCCAACCAGGCACCTGGGAGGTAGAGGGTCTCCTGGGGTCCGATGTTCCAGTAGCGTCCAAGGTTTTGGCCATTGATGAATACAACCCCCTTCTCCCAGCCCTTTAAGCAGAGAAGAGAAGGTGTTAGTCAACCATGAAAGCCACTGAATATAAAGTCACATGGGAAGGCAGAGAGACAGCCACATGCCACGTGTTCTCTTGGCTTCCAAGAGACCCACGTGAACCAACGTTCTGACAGCCACAAGGTTAACGAGTAGGGAGTTCTGTCTCCCATTCTCCCAGGCAGGGCACCCAGGCTCAGACTGGACGTAGGAACCTAGACCCTGAGAAGTACCACCAGGTGGTTCTTCTGCTTTGAGCCCACTCCCCTTGGCCCAGGGAGGCCCTGAGGGCCCTTTCAGAGAGGGCAACACAAGGACCAAGACCCTCTGGGAGTGGTACAGAGGGCTCCCTGGGGCAGGGGGAGACTGGAGAACCTGGGCAGGGAGGGGCTACAAACCTCCAGCTTCATAAAAGTGTCAGAAGGGGAAAGGGCAACTGACAAGGCCCCCAAGAAGAAAGCAGGGAATGTAGGTACTTCAGGGACGTGGTTCCATTCGTCGGAGCTGAACCTACAGCCAGAACGGAAGAAAGAGAGGAGGGCGCTTTCTCAGATCTGGGCCCTGTCCTGCATCTAATTCCAGAGGCACTGCAGTCCCCCCTGCCTGTTAACCACAGCACAGGAAGGGCAGCGGGGTGGTGTCATGGAAATTCCCTGGTCTCTAGAGCTGGCACTTCGTGGGCAAGTGCTCTGGGCTCTGGGTCTGTGTACACATGGGTGGGAGGAGGGGCGAGGCCTAAGCAGCTCTGGGCCTTCCTGGCTCTCCTGCTCCCTGTCCATAAGTTCACACGCTGCACCAGGTGGGAACCCACCTCTGAAAGAAGCTCTTTTTCATATCCAGGCTGTAGATCCTGAATTTTCTCAGGGGATAATCATTCAGATAGATATTTCCAATTAAACCTGTGGGAAGGAGGCAAGGAAACATGAGCACAGCCACAGCTGACTTGGCTGTGGCCAGCACACATGGGGGACGTTCACATGAGGATTTCTCCTGAAGGACACACTCCCTGAGGGCTCATCACATGGCATAAACTCTCCCTAGAAATCCCAAAGAGGATGAAAATGAGTAACACAGTATGTGCCCGGTCCTAGAATTTGCCTGGAAGAACACATCCCAGGGCAATGACAGAGCTGAGAATGTCACCAGGCGAGAACAGTCTCTGGCCTCTCTGAGTGGGAAGCTCCCTTTTGGGGCTGAGAATTCCAACACAATAAAATAAGGCCAAATGGGCAGATGACAAAGAGGTCACAGTGGTTCTAGCCTGGCTTCAAGGTCAGTTGCGGTGGGGTCCCAGACTAAACAGACCTAAGAACTCAGCCAGGAATCTTCTACATGACCTAAGGTTAAAGATTTTTTTGTGGGGCCGGCCCTGTGGCTTAGCGGTTAAGTGCGCGCACTCTGCTGCTGGCGGCCAGGGTTCGGATCCCGGGCGCGCACCGACGCACCATTTCTCCGGCCATGCTGAGGCCGCATCCCACATACAGCAACTAGAGGGATGTGCAGCTATGACATCTAACTATTTACTGGGGCTCTGGGGGGAATATAAATAAATAAATAAAATCTTTAAAAAAAAAAAGATTTCTTTGTGAACAGATGGCAATATGACTTGTGTATCCAAGTCAGAGAAACTGTGCATACGTGAATAGCGATTAATTAGCACCTTGGGGAATGGGTCAGCTATGTCGGTCCAGGAGCAGCTTCCGTGTTCCTCTCGGTCATGGAGCTGCTGAGTGGCTTGAGGGGGAGTTTGGATAGGCTGGGGATCGTGAACAGGCTTCATGGGGCCTGTGGACCCTGTTAAATTGCAGGTACAGGTGTGTGTCGGGGGCACACACATTTCTGGAGAGCAAGTCTGTGACTTACAAACACTGAACTGTTCCAGAGGATAGGAACTCCACAGTGCAAGTCCAGGGCACACCTTGACCACAGGCCTGGGGAGGCAAAGACTGGGAAGTAAGGATGGGCCTGGAGAGGGAGCTCCTCAGGGGAAAGGAGGAGCACTGGGGCTTGTTTAGGGAAGAGGGAGGGCAAGCAGGACCAGAAGCTACTCTGAGGCCCACTGGAGAGGGCTGGCCCAGGACCCAGGGAGCCCCTGTGGCTGGGCCACAGCGCTTTGCTTCCCTGGCAGGCAGGACGGGACACGCAGGTTTCCACATTACAAAGGCAAACACTGTGAGAGAGTTGGGAGGTCACCAGTCTTCCCTACCACAGTGGGATTTATTTTGTCTAAGTTCTTATTTCACAACTTGCATGAAACTGCCCACATTTTGATAAACAGATAAGAAAGAAAAGGCAAATTTAAGCAAAGGTTTAGAAGGCCAGGAAAAATAAAACAAATTGGTGGAATATTCCCAGAGGGGCTTGCCATCAAGAGCATTTTGTTCACTGTTTGTCCTGCCGCCTCCTCCTCCCCACCACAAATGTGATCATCAATGGATTTCCAAGATTGATCAAGAAAAGAAATTCAGTGTGGAGACGCAAGGCAGGAGTTTTTGGATTTGGATTTTTGGATATGCCTTTTTTTGGATTTCTGGGAATCCCATTCCTTGCCCCTCACCCACTACCCCCCACCACCCCAGCAGACAGCCCCCTGCTAAAGCAACTACAGCCCAGGGAGATCTGGAGAGGCTGGCTCAGTGTTCACTGTGTGTACACCATGGGCATGAGGACAACATGCACAGGGAGTGCAAACAGGGAAGAGGTCAGAACCCACCTAGGCCTCTCAGGCCCACTTCCACCTCTCTCCAATGGGCCTCCTTGACCCAGGTCCCTCCAATGGGCCTCCTTGACCCAGGTCCCTCCAACGGGCCTCCATGACCCCTCTTTACTGCAATGGGCCTCCATGGCCCCACCTCCCTTCAATGGACCTCCATGACCCACCTCCCTCCAATGGGCCTCCTTGCCCCACCTCCCTCCAATGGATCTCCAGGACCCACCTCCCTCCAATGGGCCTCCTTGACCCACCTCCCTCCAATGGGCTTCCTTGACCCACCTCCCTCCAATGGGTTTCCATGACCCCTCTTTACTGCAGTGGGCCTCCATGGCCCCACCTCCCTGCAGTGGGCTTCTATGACTCCTCTTTACTGCAGTGGGCCTCCATGACCCCACCTCACTGCAATGGGACTCCATGACTCCTCTTTACTGCAATGGGCCTCCATGACCCCACCTCACTGCAATGGGCTTCCATGGCCCCACCTCCCTGCAGTGGCCTCCATGACCCCTCTTCACTGCAATGGACTTCCATGACCCACCTCCCTCCAATGGGCCTCCATGACCCTACCTCACTGCAATAGGTGTCTATGACTCACCAATTGGCTTCTATGACCTACCCCACTCTAATGGTTCTCCATGTCCAACCTCTCTCCAACGAGCCTCTGTGATTCTACCTCCCTCCAATGGGCCTCCATGACCCAATTTCTTCCAATGGGCCTCCATGACTCTACATCCTCCAGTGGGCCTCCATGACCCACCTCCCTCCAATGGGCCACCATGGCCCCACTTCACTGCAATCAGCCTCCATGGCCTGCTGTTGTGCTGGTACGGAGAAGGGATAACCAGGCAAGTGCTGAGCATTAGCAGCTCTTCTCTCGGCATGTGCTGTGACCCACCTTTGCGCTGATCATCAATCTCCCCATAGTTGACTCGCCCACGATTCTCCACCAAGATCCTCAGCATGGTGTGACCCTGCCAGGAATACAGTGGTCGATGATGACTTCCTGATTACCCAGCCATAAGGTCACAACTGCACCTAGGGGTTTCTCTGTGGAACCCTAGTTCTTCCCTAAGCTCTGAGGATGATCAGAATGTAATGTTCTGCCCCTCTTTCCATGTGTAGCTCTGTGGTTAAGGAGCCTCCTGTCTTCCAGGTCTTCCTCTTTGACTCCCACCAAACCTGCTCAGGAAGCAGCTGGTGCAACCCATCACCCAGCTCCCCAGGATAACAAACCTGAATCAAGGGGATATTGATTGCCTTTGTTTCATAGTCCAAGAATCCTATAGATACTGTGTTCACAAATACCTGCCAAATGAACAGACAGAAAGCACCCATGGGTTGACAGGAGGGAGGCGTAAGAGGGATCTCTGCTAAGCAAAGAAAGAGGTAACACTGGGTGTGTGCTGAGGAGGGGGTTTAGCCAGGCACAGAGGAAAAATGAATGCCTGTGAGTACAGCTGAAAAGGACTGCACAGCTGATGGTGATGGCCCATCTCCACGGACTGGGAACGGCCGGATATGTGAGCACGGAGGGGAGAGAGTCAGACGTCTGTGATGGGGCTTGATGACTACAAGGTGACAGGAATGAAGAGCAGACGCTCCTACCTGTCCCCGGTCACGCACAAGACCACTGAGGACACCAGATGAGGCAATGGTGGTCTCGTACAGAGTGTACCCAAAGGACTGTCCATTTCCATTGTTTACTGGCAGGTTCTCCATATTGACTGGCTTTTCAGAATTGACTGGCTGTACAGAGAAAAGACGGTGGAGGCACAGGGGCTAGGCAGAGGAGAAAAAAGGCAGCAACCTCATCTTGAGCTTTCTGGGGGAGTGTGGCATAGCAAACAGACTCCCACCTGGGGTTAGCATACTGTGGGGCAGGGGCAGGGATGGAGTGGGGGCCCCAACATTTGTTTCTATTTTGACACCTCATTTCACAAACATGTGGAGCCAATCCAGTTTACTGGCTCTCTAAGCTCCAAAATCCTGCCTTGCCTTCTCGTCACACTAACTCGGGCTCTCCAGGGTCACAGGGTTAGGTGTAAGAAGGGGCATATGCAGTAACAACAGAATGAAGCCCTGCCATCTCGTGGACTTGCACCTTTTTAAGCCACCATCATTTTTGCATCACAGCATCCCTCTGAGTCAGCTACAGGAGGTACATCCTATTCTCAGAGGAGGGTGAAGCCCATTCTCCTGCCCCTCATCCTGTCTTCCCACTGAGGCTGGAGAAAGGGAATTCCTACTGTGTGACCCAGTTTTTCTTCAAGTTCTAAAAAGTTCCTTCCCAGTTCATACTCTAGCTTGAGTTCGTTCTCTTTACTCTGAGTTCTAAAGTGAGAGAGTAGACCTCAAAGCTCAAGAGTTGGTTTTTTCTTCCTCCATGACAGCTGTCTGGAGGGCTTCCTAGCCCCTCCGCCCAGCCCGCAGCACTTACTGTCTCCATGTACTTCAGGGCGTCCCACAGTGACAGGTAGAAAGCTGGCGTCACTGACTCATATGCAGTCTTGGGAAGAGGGTCAGGCGGGGGAGGCAGAGGGGCACCTGCAATGCAGACAAACAACAGGGCCACCCCAAGGGACCCCACAGTCACTGCCCTCCAGCCTCCATAACCCCTGGCTCCTAAACACAGCCCAACGTGCTCCTCTACCGCAGAGCCAAGAGGAAAACAGGTCCATTCCCAGAAAGGCCTAGACCCCGCTAGGAAGACAACGCCAGGGGCACTGGGGGCTTTCTCATATCCTCAGGAGTCTTAGCACCCATGAAAAGGCAGGGCTGGCAAGACACAAACTAGGATGAAAACAGTTAATCTCTCAACTCGCCTGTCCTCGTCTAGAACGTTCCTGCACACAGATCAACCAGGGTTGAGGTGGGATGGTCAGGAAGGAACTCTTAGGGGTCTCAGAGCAAAAGCAAGGGCCCAAGGTGGTGCTCGAGCCTGCTGCTTGCCAGGTACCTGAGATGGAGCCAAAGAAGTCCCGAAGCTGGACGTACTTGGCCGTGTAGTCCCCAGCCTCTGTTAGCACTGCGTCATAGTCTGCAAGACACCAGGGCACCGTCACTGGTCACTCATGTCCCAGGACAGTGTCTGTGGCAGCAAAAAGAGAAGGGAGAAGCTGAGAGAGGGAAGGGTCCTCATCCCAGCCATTTGGGAGGCAAACACTTTTGGTATGAGCCATCACCCAAAATACTATATATACCAAATACAACAGAATGCCACCAAAACTGCGCACGACCACAGCATGACCCTAAATTTCCAGGCATCTTTCCTACTTTCCGGGGACTCTCAATCTAAAGGGGGGGCAGCGGTCACACCACGTGAAGGTCCTGAGTAGGGAGAAGAAGCCGCTCTCACGTAAGACTTTCCCTCAGCCTGCGTGCCTCTCCCACTTCCTCCAGCTCACTTCCAAAGGCTCCCAGGCACGTCAGCCGGCTTCCATCTCCCACTGCTCTGGAAGTTTAAAAGTGACAATCCAGACAAACCTCCACCTTCCCCAGGCACTCTGCAGCAAAATACGTTAAAGGTGCCAGAAGCTGTCCCTAAAGGACTGTCCATAAATAGCCCCAGACACACAAATGCGGGGGTGTTCTGGGGAGGGGCAGTACTGGGGAATACTTGCCATAGCTGGTGACATCAGACTTATATTCATAAAAATGCATGGCTCCATTTATGAAGCCAAAGTTGGTGCCTCCATGGAACATGTAGAGGTTGATGGAGGAGCCGGCATCGATGATGGCAGACACTGTTTTTAAGACCTCTACAGGAGGAGGGGAGAAAGGGGAACATGCAGAGTGAGTTTGAGTTTGGGACAAGCTGTAAGTCCCTTTGGCACTCTCATCTTTCCTGGTCCCTCCTCAAATCCAACTTCATCACTCTGCCCTTCAGCTTCCACTAAAACTCCCATCGCAGAAGACGAGGGGAGGAGGACGAGAAACGGGCCAGAATCTCGGCCCCAGAGCTTCGGCCTTCCTGTTGTTTTTACATCACATCAGGTCTCCATTGACTACGACTTGGACAATGTGCCGTGTAGGGCAGCCTTCTGCCTCCCCGGCACGCTTCTCAACTGTTACTCTCAGTAAGACACAGAGAGAGAGGATTCATAATTACAGATATAATTCTGACCACTTCCTCAATCCTACCTTTATTAGAACCAATGACATGAAAAGATAGTATCAAAGGAGAAATATAAATGGTTAACTAATATATATATGTGTATGTTTTCTTAAAAACCTCAGTATTGGTCAAAGAAATGTGAACTAAACAATGACTTATCAAATTAGCAAATATTAAAAATTATTTTAATACTCAGTGTTGATGAATCGGTGGGAAATGGGTATTCTCGCTGAAAAACGGTAAGAATTGCTACAGTCTTTCTGGAGGGCAGTTTAGTAAACATACATCAAAATTGCATTAACATAGCAATTCCATTGCTAGGAACTTATCTTAGGGAAATAATATGCCAGGTATGCAAACTGGATGTTCAAGAATGCTCAGTGACACAGTGTTCAGTGAACAAAAACCACTGAAAACAACCTCCATGTTCATCAATAGAGATTGGGTAAATGAATTATGTTTTAGTCACCAATACATGGGGTTCTTTCTGTTCTTAAAAACAGCAAGGGAATCTATGTTTAACAGTTAGAAAGCTGGCTGTCTGTGTCATTCACACACAAACAGGTGACGAGGAGCAGATGTGCCCACATTTGTCCACATCTATGTGCACACAGGGCTGAAAACAGAGATACAGAGAATGGCCTGGACTGTATACGCCACAGTGTCTTCTCCGGGCTCTGGGGTTTTTATTTCTTTTTTATACATATTCTGTATTTGCTCAATGTTTGCAAATTATTACTTATAATTACATTACTTATCTAATTACAAAAACATAATAAAGCAATGTTAAAAGTCCTACTGTTCACTTCAAATGTCAAGATAAATGACTCTGGAAAACCATGAGCTGACTACTACATGCAAATACTCCCAGGAGCCTTGCACCCTACAGCTAGTCTACATCAGTTGGCAGGGTATTTGGAACTTATTCCTGCTTCTTAGGTCCACACACATGCTGGATGTAGGTACTGCAAAACACTCACCAGAGGAATCCAGGATGTTGTGTGGGCCTCCCCACGAGTCAAACCACCCCGTCCAGTACTCCATCACCATCTTGGGCCGAGCCCCCTGGGCATCACAAAATGAGAAGTTAGCTGGCCAAGAAGACAGAGGGGAGCCCTTCCTGGAGAGGAATGCCAGCACCTCTGTCCCCACAGCTCTGCCCTGGCTGCACGCCCCTTGCCTTAGCAGCCGTGGAAGGCAGAGCACAGACAAGCAGCAGGTACACGTGCACCGCGTCTCCGTGTGCGGCCCCCACACTGAAGGTGGGGGAGCACAGGCTACCAGAGTGGGCGCAGTGGACCCTGCCACCTTGATGTGCTTTAACGTTGCATACGGTGCTGGCGAGAAAACACGTGGATGTGTTCAAAGTAAGTCTTCAAGAGAATTCAGCTCCTGCTTTCAGAGTCTCTTCCTACATTGGTTCACATTCTGAGTCAAGCCAAGCCTATCCTCTTTCAAGGAAGGAGAATGCTCTATCAGGATAACTCCACTTCTGGGAGGCACACCGTGGATGCAGGCCCCTCAGCTGCTGCTTCCCTTTAGCTGGAAGAGTCAGAGGGCTGCAGAACAGGCCCCTCTTCGAGGACCAGGGTCAGGGCATCATAGCCCAGCTCTCCACAGTGCAGGCTCTGCAGCCACAATGTCTGCATCAAACCTTGGCTGGGACGTTCAGTAAGTCTTTACTATTACCTCAGAATACTGACTTTGCACGGGATTGCCCCAAGGATGCAGAAATCTTTCCAGGGACCATGCTCCACTCTGCCTTGTTTGTGGAAGTACCAGAGCAACTGGGGGAAGTGGAAGGACAAATATGCTGGCATTTCAGGCTCCACACCAGAGAGCCTTCCTCATTTGTCACATGCCGTGTTAGTGACGGCTTTACATTCAGAGGGCAGCTGCCCACAGAGCAACAAAGTCTGACCCAGGGTGATGATTCACAGTCCACTGAGTAGAAGGGACCAACCACACCAGGAGAAGGCCAAAGGAGTCACAATAATTTTTAGCAAGATAGGTGCCTTGGTTTTCTTTACAGCTGTCTACCCCCCAAGAAGGGGATATACTGTGCCACTTTTAAGTCACTAAGAAGGGAGAAGTCAACTTTAAGTCCCTCATGTCAGTAGTCTCCCGTGCCTCCCGTGCCAGGAGGGGGCTCCCTGATTTGAGGGTGCCAGGGCCAAGGCAGGGGGTGTCCACCACCGGCCCAGGTCACTGCAGCGCACGATGTGGTGAAGAGCTGGAGCTCTGCTGTCCTCCCTAACCTGCCAGTCACTGGGTGCTTTATCCATTCTACCAATCTGTCTCCTTAACTGTAAAACGGTAATACCAGTAGCCAGCTCACACGGTTAGTGGGAGAATTAAAGGAAACAACGCACGTACAGCCCTTAGCACACAGGGCCTGGCACACAGGAAGTGCTTGGGAAACAGTCACAGGAATGCTCTTCATCACTGGACACGGACGAGAGGCCCAGCGAGGTGCTGCTGGCCACCCCAAAGCTGAGCAGAGCTGGGCCTGTGCTGTCCACAATTCCGAGGCGCCTGTGATCGCAACAAGCAAGCACCCCAGCCCCCTTCCTCGGGGAAAGCAGATGTCGCTGAGCTGTGGATAGAATGGCCTTTAGCGGTGCTGTTTTGTCAAAGGATGACCGGCCTGGGGCACACAGGCATGGCCATTGGTCCAAGGAGGACCCTGAAGGAGCCAGCGTGAAGCACTGCTACGCTGGTGCCTGCCAAGTATCTCCTCACTTCACCCTCAAACAACTTCTCAGTAGGTGCGATCAGGGTCCCCACTCACAGAAGAGGAAGGAGAAACACAGGGCGGTCACCCCACAGCAGCCGGCACTGCTCGTGGACAGCACTCAAGTACAGTGCTATTAGTTACCAGGCAACTGTTTGTTTAACACGTCTCTTCCCAAGTAGGCAAAAAACTGCAGGAGGGCAGAGACCCTGGCATCTTAGTCACTGCAGCGGGACTGGGCCTGGCCTACCCCACGCACAGAGCAGGCACTCAGTACATAGGGGCGGAGGGAAGGAACGGAGAAAGGGACGGGACCTGGGCCCACCTATATCCGCTGTCTCTCCCAGATCTGCCTCACAAAGTCTGCCTGGGGTGAGGCCCCACCCCGTCCCATCTCCTCCTGTGCACCTTCCCTGCCCATTCTGCTTGTCCCTCTACACTCCAGTAGTAGCTGCATCATACACATGGGTGGCCCTCATCCGTTGTGGCTTCACCCTGCCGTGGTGGCCTCATGTGGATGTGCCTTAGGACACTGCCTCTGCTCTAAAAATGAGCAGCTGGGATGGAGAACCCCAGCTTCTCACAGGCATCTGTCCACGGTGACATGAACGCTCCAACAGTTCACTCTAGGCCCAGCAATCAACGCCTCCACCAACAGATGGTGGCAGTTTGGGGCATTCCCCCACTTCAGCAAGACAGGGCGAGGGATGGGGCCTCTCAGCTCTGCGAATGGGCTGCAGCTGCCTTGGCCAGATCACCTCTCTCTCTTTAGGAGAGAGACACGAACTTGAGAGAAGAGAAACCAATCCGAACAGGATTTAACTGTAAATTCCCATCAACCTGATGGATGCTGAGAAATATCCAGAAACTCCTCTTCCTCTGACCTGGAATGGGCCGGGCTTCCTGTCCCGCTGATGCCAACAATCTTTCTAGGCCCATAGGGGCCTCACAGGTTAAGGTCAGACACATACTGTACAGGGCAGGGCAGTGTTTTTCCCCTTGATCATCTGAGCACGTCTGGGGCTACTTGACTCCACACAATGCTAGTCAAGAGGCCTCTGTGATGGCACCACACCCAGAGCTTCAAAAAGAGCCCTTTCTCAAGAGGCGGGACACCCTACTCATACATCAGCCTACATAGCAACACCTCAGAGCACTTCCACAGGGCTTCCTTGGCCAGGGCGCGGCCACACGGGGGCCGCGGGGGCTGAGCTCTGCAGTGGAAAAGAGGGCTGAGAGAGCCCAGACCCCCTGCCTCCCGTCTGGGGCACCCTGCACACAGCGCGGGCATTCCAGAGCCCCGCAGGCTTCTGACAGAGAGGCTCCACTCAGCTGGAGGATTCCTACACTCACGTGGAGCAGGGCGGGCAGCTGCCGGGCCAGGCTCACCTGGACGCTGAAGAGAAAGGTGGTCAGCAACTGCAGGTCGTGTTGCAACTGTAAGTTGATGGTGGCCAGCGCTGTGGATGGAAGGAGAGAGGAAAAACAGAGCATTCTCTTAAAGGCAGGAAGACTTTCTGAAGCACCCCAGACCGTTCTCAATTCACCAGCAAAATAAATTAGTCTTGACAATAGTTCCCACCTCCAATTAGAGTTTAGTTTCTCTGATGTCAGGAAATTTATCTTGCTTGTCTTAGAAATCCCACCCTCAGCACAGACCACACAGAGCACGCCTTCACTAAGCGTCTGTTCTTGATTCACGTGGGTCTACCACCAGAGTGTGCGTTCTGTTAGTTATTCTTCTGTGGGAGCCCGGAGTCTAACCATTACTTGAACTCCGGTATCTAGTACAGGGTAACAATCTAAATGAAGACTCCCCTTTCATTTCTTTGACGAGGCTAATTTTCTATTCTACCCCATCATGTGCTCATTGTTCAACTTAAAATGATATTTTAAACGGCTTTCCATCAGTGAAAGGATGCCCGAGAAAGATGTGCTATGTTTGCCAGTGGTTGTGGATCCCTGGCCGACCCCACTGCTCCTGGGGCTCCCTGTCTGCTTGCTGTCTGCCTGAACAGTGGGCCTCACACACACTGGCCTTGGCCTGAGTTCCAGTGGCCTGGGAAGGCATGACAGAGACTGAGCCGGCCTGGCAAGCTGGCCACCCTGACACTCTCTTGTCGGACATAAGCCCCTGATTACCAGTGATTAAAAACAAACAAACAAGAGCTGAGCCTCCAGGAGGTTAAAGAACTTGCCTCAAGGTCACACAACTGGTGAGCAGCAGAGCAGGACTGCACCTCGGGCCCATCCGATACCCACCCATTGTCCTGCCATGTCACCATCCTCCAGCAACCCACTGGGGAAGACACTACATCCAGACCCCTCCTCATCCGAAGTAGAAATCCCGGAAGACAGGAAGACTGTCAGAAACTGACCAGGCAGAAATCTCAGAGGTCAGCAGGATTAGCATGGCTAACTGTACAGAGCATCTATTCCTAGCCTTCTTGACACTCTACTAAGATAAAGATCAAGGCATGAAAAAGTGGAAGTCCATAAGGAACAAGAACTGGAGAGAAGGCATACCAGAGATGAGGTTTTAAGAAAGTCTTGGGTGACTAAAAAAAGGGCAGTGGGTCGGTAACGGCCTAAGAGAGTGGAAGAAGTTATGACTGGCTGCCCACCTGCAACCCAAAGCCTCACGCACAGCTGAGGCACTGTGCAGGGGAGGACGCCCCGCCCCCTGCCTCGCACACTCCTCAAGCCCCCTTGCCCACCCCTCAGAGGTGCCATCCCCTCAGGGGACCATACTCTCTGGGAAAGCCAAGAGGCTCCAGATTGGAGGGATCTGGCACAGAAGAGTGTGGGCTGAGAGATCCAAAGGGGGGAGAGGACAACCTGGACAAGGGGGCTCCTGCCCACCCCTCCAGCCTGCTCCCACAGCATCTGCTGCCCTAGACCAAAGGGTCCTTCTCTGGAACCACTTATCTCCGACAATTACACTCAGGTTTTCCTCATTGAAACAGCCCACCAGGGCCCACCCACCCCACAGAGGAGCACACCTGCCACCAGCCTCTCCTCTACCTGCAGTTCCCAAGGGGCCACCTAGCACCTCTTCCTTAACTGCTCAGGCAAGAACCAACAACTGAGAAAGTCCCCTCACGTGGACGATTGAGCAGAACAGATAAATGTGAAAAAAATAATAAAATATCCTCAGAGAGAGATAAGAACCATAGTATCCATTAAAAAAAGCATGCCGAGGCCAGCCTGGTGGCGCAAGTGGTTAAGTGCGTGCACTCCGCTGTGGTGGCCCGGGGTTTGCCGGTTCGGATCCCGGGCGCACACCGACACACCACTTGGCAAGCCATGCTATGGCGGCGTCCCATATAAAGTGGAGGAAGATAAGCATGGATGTTAGCCCACAGCCAGACTTCCTCAGCAAAAAAGAGGAGGATTGGCAGATGTTAGCTCAGGGCTGATCTTCCTCACAAAAGAAAAAACAAAGAAGCATGCCTTGAGGGGGCCGGCCCGGTGGCACAAGTGGTTAAGTGTGGATCCCGGGGGTGCACCCGACAGACTGCTTGTTAAGCCCTGCTGTGGTGGCATCCCATATAAAGTAGAGGAAGATGGGCACAGATGTTAGCTCAGGGCCAATCTTCCTCAAGAAAAAAGGGGAGGATTGGCATCAGATGTTAGCTCAGGGCTAGTCCTCCTCACAAAAAAAAAAAAAAAAGCATGCTATGAGAAAAGAAATTATTCAAGAAAAACGTGATCCAGGAGATAACAGAAGGATTGGAAGACAAAAGCTGAGTAAGTCGCCCAGAAAGTAGAACTAAAGGGCAAAGAGAGAAAAAATCAAAAAGCTAAGAGACTTAGAGAATCGATATGAAAGTCCAATCCATGAGCAACAGAACGACCAAGAGATCAGAAGGAGGAGGGAAAGCGTATTGAAGAAACGCAGCATGGAGGTCCCAGCACTGACGACCATAACGGTTCTGGTTCAAGTGACCCAGAGAAGTGCCCCGAAAGGGACCAAAGAAGGCCATTCTGAAATAGCAGAATACCAACAATGGAAGGAAAATTCTAAAACTTTCTAGAAACAGGAGAGGAAAAAATGAACAGGACATATAAAAGGCTCAGGCACGGAACACGACCGTCCTTCCACAGCACAGCAGCTCCTAGAGAATAAGGGAGCAATGTCATCCACGTTCTAGGAGCCGGGAGGTCCGACAGGACACGCGGGCCTGTCTGGGTAATGCTGTGTGGCGGGCCACCGCTGGTCAGGGACAGAGAGGTCCCAGACCCGATCAGACTAGACAGAGACTCTGACAGGTAGAGGCATCTGCAAAACACCCTGAGAGGAGTCTGGAAGATCTCTAGTAAAGGATTGTTTAAAAGAAAAGGGGGGAGGGAGAGAAAGAGAGAAGAATGTGAAAGAGAAACACAATGGGATAATTACAGTGACAGCGAAAACTGAGCACACCCAAGGCGAGGCGATCCGCGCACGTCCAGACCGCCGGCGCGGCCGCAGGAGGCGGAGCGCCCAGCGGAACCGGGCGGGCGCCAGAAGACTAAACCTCAGCGCAACAAGACAGATTTCGATGGATACATACAGAGTTCCACGTCAGAAGAAAACCTTGAAGGTTCCAGCGATCGTTTCCGGGGATGGGGAGGGGGAGGCAGGCTGCGCTGTATTTATCAGGATTTCTATTTTACTTTTAGATCTGGTAAATACGTTACTTTAATTACATTTTTAATTGAAAGGGATCATCTAGGCAGCACAGGCGGCAGGCGGCTGGGGGCGGGGTGGAGAGGGACCCGCAGTGGAGGGGCATGGAGACCAGCAGGGGCCTTGGAGACCCCGCACCCGCCCACCTCCGCTTCCCTCTACCCCGCCCCGGAGTGCACCAGCGTCCGAAGGGCCTTCCTACCGCACGGCCACCGCCCGCCGGATGCGCGGACATGACGGGAGTCGCTGGCGGTCCTCGCGGGAGACGGGGTCTGGGTCCTGGAGGAACTGGCTCGCTGGGGACCAGAGCCTCTCCCGCCCACTCATCCAACAGTCACTCCCCGAGTGCCGGCCGCACGCCAGGCGCTGGCCTAGGGCTTCAGAGGGAAAGCCGCTCTCTTCCAGCAGTTCAGTCCAGGGGAGGGGAAGCGGGAGGAACACAGAGCAGCGCGCCCGCGCAGGAGCAGGCACGCGCCGGCAGCCCCAGGGAGGCAGCTGCCAGGAGGGCCCTTCAGGCTGCAGTCACCCTTGCAGTGCGCACACCCAGTCTAGGCACGCGAGCGCTGCCGAACCTGACAGACAGAACCCAAGCCCGGCAGAGCTGACCACTGCCTGAAACAGGCAAATAAAACAGAGAAACCCTCGGAAGGTTAGAAGGCAAAAATAAAGCAGGGCAGAAGGGCTGGGTGAGCTCCAGGAGGAGCTGCAGTTTCCAATGGGTGCTCAGAGGAAGCCTCACCTCGAGGTGACCTCGGAGGAGAGTCGGAGGAAATGGGGCAACAGCCGCGCAGCTGCCTGGAAGAAGGCTGGGGGCGTGTAGTACATCCAGCAACACGAGAGAGGCCAAGCGAGTGGAGCAGAGTGGGCCAGGGGAGAGCAGGAGGCAGCCGGTTGGGTCACAGAGGCCACCTGGGGAGGCATCTGGAGGTCATTCTCAAAACCTGCGCTTCACTCTGAGCAAGACAGGTGCACCTGGAGCTCAGGCGGGCGTGAGATGATCCGAGTGACATTATCAAAGGCATGCAGAGGCTGCTATGTTGAGAAAAAGTTGTGCGGGAGTCAATAGTGAAAAAAAGGGAGGTCGGTTCCAGTGCTGTTGCAATAATGCAAATGAAAAATGACGGTAATAGTTGAGGTGATAAAACTTATCTGGATTCCAGACAAATTTTGAAGATAAAGCTAAAGATAAAAAGGATTTGCTGATGGCCGCATGTTAGGCATACAGAGAGGAGTCGAGAGTGACTACAAGGTTCAGGGCCTGCACAACTCGGGGAAAATGAAGTTGCCATTTACTGAGAAAAGAAAGACCGAAAGTGGGAGGGCACCAGACAAGTTCAGTCCCCGCTGGTTCCGCTGAGACCTGAAGCCTTCCTGGGGGCAGGCCTGGTGGGAGATGCACATGGCAGGAGATCAGGAAGGGTCCCTGATGGAGACAACGTCTCGGACTCCTCAGCACAGAGGTCGTATTTAGAGCCATCCAGATGACGTCACCAGGGCAGTGAGTGTACAGTGAGCAGAGCAGATTCATTCCAAGGAGTGAGCCAGAAAGAATCTGAACATCAGAGCCCAGGAAGAGAGAGGTGACCAGGAAGGAGCTGCCAGCAGGTCAGAGAAAAACCAGGAAGTTGTGTCCCTGACACCAAGTGAGGACGTGTTCAAGGAAAAGAGATTGACAGTTGCTGAAGACTAAAATCAGATAGATCAGAGGCGTCGAGGACTAACAAGTTAAATTGATAATGTGGGGATCACTGGCAACCTGGAAAAGAGCAACATCATGGAATGATGAGGGTGGTGATGTGGTCATGGTGGTTTAAGAGAGATCTAGAAGAAAGGACTGGGAGAGCCAGTGAGCATGGACAGGGGAGATTTGTTGAAAGGGGAGCAGAGAAATAGAACAGCCTCTGCACAGGAAAATGAATCGAGATTTTTTTTTTAGAAGGGAGAAGTAATGTGTCTATATGCAGTTGGGAATGATCCAATAGAAAGCAAGTTTGATGATGCAGGGCAGAGGGGAGTCACTGGAGCGGTGCCCTGGAGTAGCTGAGCTATTAGCTATAGTAGTAGCTCAGTATCAGAAGCCTGCTGGTCTCAGCGGAACCAGCAGAGACTGAGCAGAGAAAGGGCTTGTGCACAAGTGTGGAGCAGCTAGCCGGAAGCAGGAGCTGGGCCAGTGCATCTACAGCAACAGGAAGACAGGTGGCGTAAGGGGTATGGATGCTGGTGGATGGAGAGCTGCCATGCTTATCGACTGTGCACTCACTGCCCAGCCAACTGTCCATCACTGTGGGGGCTACACGGACCCTGGGAAGTGGTCAGTCGTCTCCACAATTTTGGCAGGATTTGAGAAAGCCATCCTCATAGTACACTCAATGCTTCATCTGCTCAGCCCACTGTGTAACATTCAGAAACTTTCTCAGGGGCCCAACTTGCCGTTCCCTGTGTCTTGCAGTCTGCAGAGCACTGTTAGTGTCCAGAGTGCTCTGCAGAAATGGAGACCAGCCACAGAGCTGGCTATGGCAACTCCGTCTCTGTCACAGACTCTCCAACCCTCTGAGGCCCGGAGCTTCGGGGCCTGGTGCCACGCAAACGGGAGAAGAGGCCTCAGAGAAACCCCACATGAGGCTCAGGCCATGCACAGCCCCCCACCCCTGCATAGCCCCGGGAAGGCACCTCCATCAACCGCCCCCTTGCTCAGGCCGTCCTTGTTGTCTGAAGTCAGGAGCAGCTCCACAACACCTCGGTCCTCCAAGGCCTGGGGGGGAAGACAATGCAAACTCGGTTAGTCCTCAGAGCATCTGCTGAGCCACACAGCTGGGGATGCGGCAACCCGAAGAGAAGGGGGAGAGATTCAAAATAAAGCATCTGTTTCTCTGCAGAAAATGGAAGGAAACCCACCCAGTCTGTGCCCACCACGTTCGACAAAGCTCCAGTCAGCCTGAATTCCAGCCATGGCAGGGCCAGGGTTGTCAGGCTCTGGCAGCCCTTAGCTGCTCCCAGTCGGGCAAGATGCTGAGTCTGGCTGGTGTGCTGTTCCTAGTCAGGCCTGCTCAGAGGCCGGCTCAGCAAGGCCAGCTGCCATGCTTTCACCCAGAACTGACTGCAGGGCTCCAGGAGTGGGTCAGGCCTCCAGGACAGAAGCGAGCAGCCCACCCCTTCCCCACACCAGGCTAGGGTGGGCTCTGGTCAATAGCCACGCCACAGTCACATGAGCATGGTGCTCTGCATGTGCCCAGTAGAGCAGGAAATGCTCTGTGAAGGTGGTGAATCTAACACTGAAGAAGTGGAAGGACACAGTGTGCTGAGGGGCAATCCCTCCTCACCACTCAGAACAACTGCTCACATGTATGGACCAGTGATTGTCATGCCAGACCTGTTGCTGAGCACTGTACACAGACTGTCCTATTCAGTCTTCACAGTCAGAATCTAAACTGTACAAATGAAGAGCCTCAGAGAGGCTGGAGAAAGTGCTGTGGGAATCAGAGCTAATGAGCAAATGTGGACCTGAGTCCAGTGTGTACCCCTTCAAAGTCTCTGCTCTGGGAATGTGGGCTCTTTTGGATCAGAAGCCCCAGCAAGGGGTATTTTCCTATCATTTTTCCTGCAGATATTATGACAAGACTGCTTATTTCAACCACATTCTTTTGGAAATAGGGGAGGCAGAGAAGTGATCCAGTGGGGGAACAAAGCTCCCATCTGACCCCAGATGCGGGTGAGGAAAGAGCAGGGGCCTAATTCTCAGGGACAGCAGAGGCTGCAGGAGTTTAATCCATTAGGCAAGGTGAGATTTGTATCAGAAGCCCTGGATCCGCCACCTCACAGCTCTCCAACCACTCATTCACTGATGTCTAATGAACTCTGCTTTGGTTCCTGCCATGTGCAGAAAGGCTCGTGTGGGCTGGGAGGGTGCAAACAGGGACAATCACCACATTTCATAGCTGTACAATCACACTTGACTTTGCCCAGGCGTTCATTTACTGACTGCACACTGTAAGGGACAGAGCACCAGCGATCAGCCAAGCACAGCTAGGGACCTTGTGCAGTTCTCCACTACATTCCCACAGCCGTCTTAGAGAAAGGCATTCTTTTCTCCACTGTGCACACGATGAAACTAAGGCTCAGAAATGTGCGGTGACTTGCCCAAGGTCATCGTATGCTGACGGTGTCCACATGTCCACAATGCCCCAGGAAAAGCTGCATGGCAGTTCAGGGGGATCCTCTCCAGAGCTTCAGGATGACAGAGGCTGGGCACTGGGGCTTCTCTTTGTCCACCTGTCTCACACACAGACGCCTTTCTCAGACACCAGGGAGGCGTGACTGAGCAGGACAGGTCACTGAAGGGGCCACACTCTCCTCTGCCCCCATCAAAGGAGCTCTCCTCTGCAGCTCAGTAATTCAGTAAACTCCTGCTGGAGAAGCCCCAGCACCCAAGAGACAGACTGAGGGAAGGAGGTGAAGCAGGAGAAGCTCCCCCAGCCTGTGCTGGGGTCTTTCTAGCCCACTCAAAGACAAAGAGGAAGCTGGAGGTGTGGTGTGCTCCAGGCTGTGGTGGGACATGACCATTAGGACTGAACTTGCCCCTTTTCAGCTTTAGGAATGCCACATCTCCTAGAGATAGCCCTGCTCCCTGCACAGAGGGCTTTCTGCACGTGAGAAGAAGGGGGAAGAGTGGATAAGAACCTACAGGCTGGAGCACTTGTGCCTCGGTCTGAAGGGACTGAAGTCATTTCCAGATGGAAAATGAATCTGCCTGTGACAGCAGAAGAGATGCTGCCCAGGACATCATGGGCCAAAGCTAAAGTAGCTTTAATTCAGTGGATTCACTGAGGCCACTGAACATTTCCTCGACTCACACCACAGCTGACCCTTCCAAGTACTCCAAAACCAATGCCAATGATTCTGTCAAGGTCTTATTTATTGACTACTTATTGTATGCCTAGAACAGTACCAAGCCTGTCATGTGATTGCACAGATACGCACAATTCAGAGAGGCAAATACCGTCTTTAGTCTCACTATATACAAAAGAAAATGGAGCTTTAAAAAAATTAAGGCATTTGTTCAAGGTCTCAGCTACTAAGTGACAGAAACCAGATCTAAGCATTAGCCTGTACTTTTAAGTGTCATTCTAGCCCTGCCCTTCCCTGATCTGCCATATACTAAATCAGTGGTTCTCGACCTCACCCACACATTGGAATCAGATGTCAAAGTACCACCCCAGAGATTCTTATTTAACTGGTATGGTATATGATCTGAGTATAGGGATTTTAAAACATTCCCCAGAGGAAGCCAATGTGCAGCTGAAGCTGGGAACCATTGCTTTAGATGCTGGAATGAGAACAGCCTCTCCAGGAAGACTTCTCTAATCATCATCACTCAACTGAGTCAATTCCTTTACTCTCAACCCCTGAACCACCATGTATGTACTGCAGTCCCCAATTAAACTCAATCAATAAAGGAAATGACAACTCTGTTGAAATAAAAGTATGGAGAAAGGATTCACTAATTAATAAATGGTGCTGGGAAATGTGATATTAATATGAGAAAAGCATTAGACCCCCATGTCACACCACAGCCCATAATACACTCCAGAGGAAGGAATAAGAAGAAATGAACTGAGCTGACTCTTACTTTCTTGACGTAAGGCATATAGGCGGGGTCTTTATTATAGGAACCATATTCATTCTCCACCTGCACAGCAATGATGGGTCCTCCATGTTTGTACTGGGGAAAAGAGATAATCAGAAGCTGAGTTTTTAGTGGGAACTGTATTAGCTAATTTCACCACACTTATCACCAACTACTGGCAAAACATCCTATTTGAAAGCAAAAGTCTCAAAAGGTTTGGTATATAGTTGAGAGTGACATCAGTTTGACATGGAACAGGAAGCTCCAGGTCACTGTTCCCCAAAAGAAACATCAAATAAACAAGTATATAATGATTAAAATAACTTTATAGGAGCTCTGGAAAAGAGTCAGATGTTTAAGCAAACAAGTGAACGTCCAATCAAGAAAAAGACACATTCAAAATGGTAGGAGATTTCATGGTGTTTTTGCTCTCCTTGCCCCACCCCCTCCCTGGCATAACACAGTGTAGTCAGAAGGAAGCATCCAAATTCCCAGTTCCCTCCCTCAGGACAGAAAAAGCAAAACTGAACTTGTTTGCAATGTTCTGGGCTTTCTTTGGGCTGCCCAGTGAACTAGTTTCTGTTTCATTTGACTTGGAGCTCAGACAGGAAATGTTGGCATGGTTTGGACCTCAGACTGGAAGCTGCATGTGAAAACTTCAGGGGAACTACAGACCCATGGATGCCTGGAGGCAAGGGATTACAGGCAGAGGAATATGAGAGAATACCTAAGGCCACAAGAAGAAGGTGGAGTGAGACTCTCTGGGTAATTAAGATACGTAAAAGCGGCCAGGGGAAACGTGGAAAAAAAAAGCACACACAGGCCGGACAGGACACGTAGCCAGAAAATATCTGAGAAAATCTTAAGCCTTCACCCTGGGCTGATCTCAAGGCTCAGGAGCCCACTAAACAGTGAAAGTGTTCCCTGCCAGTTTACAAAGACTGGGAGAGGTGACTGTTGTTTCAAATGCCCAATTTTGAACCACAAAAACACAAGGCATGTAAGACACAGGGAAATATGGCTCATTAAAAGGAACAAAATAAATCTCTAGAAACAGTCTCTAAATAAACACACTCACTGGACTTACTAGACAAAGATTTTAAAACAACTGCCATAAGTATTCTCAAAGAGCTAAAGAAATCAAGAAAAGGATATATGAACAAAATAAGAATATCAATAATGAGACAGAAACCATAAAAAAGAACTAAACAGAAATTCTGGAGCTGAAAAATACAATATCCAAATAGAAAAATTTACCATAGGAGTTCAACAGTAGATTCAAACAAGCAGAAGAAAGAACGGGTGAACTTGAACACAGGTCATTTTAAATTATTGAATCTAAAGAGCAAAAAGAAAAAAGAATAAAGAAAAGTGAACAGAGCCTGAGGGATTTATGTAACATCAGTAAGAATACAAATATACTCATTATGGGAACCCCAAAAGAAGAAGAAACAAAAAGCAGATAATTTGAAGAAATAATAGCTGAAAACCTTTCAAATTTGAGGAAACATGGATATACAAATCCAAGAAGCTTTAATGAACTCCAAGAAGCTTTAATGAACTTCTAGTAGCTTTAACCCAGAGATGCATATCAAGACATACTACAATCAAACTGTCAAAAACTAAAGACAAAGAGATTCTTGAACAAGAGGAAAACAACTTGACATGTACAAAGGATCCCCAATAAGACTATCAGTGGATATCTCATCAGAAACGTTGCAGGACAGAGGCAGTGTGATGATATAGTCAAAGTGCTGAAGGAAAAACACTATCAACTGAGAATTCCAAATCCAGCAAAACTGTCCTTCAAAAATGAGGAAGAAATTAAGATATTCTCACACAAATAAAAGGTGAGGGAGTTCATTACCACTAGACTTGTGCTACAAGAAATATTACATGGAGGGGAGTGACGTCAGCATCATGGCGGAGTGAGCTTTCCCATGAATTCTTCCCCCGACAAGATACAACAAAAGCAACAGTCACAGACCAACAACGGAATCCCAGACAGTGAAAACCTAGAGCGGAGGGATCCACACTGCCGCACATCTGAGAGCGGAACGTGCTGGGCCCCCGGAGGAAGTGGGGAGAGGTAAGGAGAACTCCGCTCCCTCCCCATCAGATCAGCGATCCCGGTCCGTGCGGCTCCCA